CTGCGTACAGCGTATAAGACACCCATTGGCACTACTCCGTTTCACTTGGTTTATGGGAAGGCATGCCACCTTCCGGTAGAGATAGAACATAAGGCCTACTGGGCCTTGAAAACGTTGAATAAGGATTTGTCTTTGGCGGGTCGTGAACGGCTTTGGAAGCTCAATGAGTTGGATGAGTGGAGGCTTATGGCCTATGAGAACTCTAAAATTAGTAAGGAGCGTACCAAAGCCTATCATGATCGGCACATTAAGCAAGGAAAAGAGTTTTGTAAGGGGGATCAAGTTCTGCTATTCAATCCCCGAATGAAGATTTTTAAAGGAAAGTTGAAGTCTAGGTGGTCCGGTCCTTTTGTAGTGAGCGAAGTTTTTCCGTATGGAACTGTTGAGATAGATCATCCTGAGAAGGGCCGTTTTAAAGTTAACGGCCATCATTTGAAGAAATATTACGGAGGACCGCTAGAACGCAAGCGTGAGGTGACCTTTGTCACGAATTTGGAGAGATGAGTGCGTAGTTGCGTCGGGCAAACGACGTTAAAAATAGCGCTTCTCGGGAGGCAACCCGAGCTTAATTTGTTTTTGTTTTAGTTTAGTTTTGTTGCTTTTCAAAAAAACCCACAAAAAAAAAAAAAAAATAAAAAAAATAAAAAAAAAAAAAAAATAATTTTTTACTGTTCGTTCGGACGCACGGTCGTGCGTCCAGGCACGCACGCCGTGCGTAAAAGAAAGGAAAGCGGGGGAGGCTACTGCCATCGACGCACGATCGTGCGTCCCCCCCTACGCACGATCGTGCGTAACTAACGACACGAGAAGGGTGCGTCTGCCATCGACGCACGATCGTGCGTCGCCCCCTACGCACGGTCGTGCGTCCCTAAATATCCAAAATTACCCCCCTTAATTAAACATTGCCCAACCCAACCTCCCCCTTCTCCTCTACGCGACTGAAGCCCAACCCCAGCTCTCCCCTTACCCAGTCGACGAACAGCAGCCACGACCACCGCCCTGCCGCCGCACCTCCGACCCACCCCGCGACCGCCGCGTCCGCCGCGACCGCCGCTCCACCAACCACCCGCTTCTCTCTTCTCTCTTCTCTCTTCTCCAAGGTATCTCCTTCTTCTCTTTTCTTCCCCTTTCTCCATTAATGGAGGTTTCTCCAAGCTTTTCTAGAAATCCAAATTCTTATGCTCTAAAATTAGGGATTTACATCCACATGATTAAATTGAAGCTTGTGATGATGATTTTGATATTCTATGATTGATGAATTTATTTATTTAGATTGAAATCCCTAATTTTTGAGCTAATTTAGCCAATTTAGGGTTGAAAATTGATGAATGTGAGATAAATTTGGGGTTTTTTGTGCTCCTTGCTTCAATTAAGGAATGACTTGTTGATTATGATGTTGAATACTTGTTGTTGAGTTAAATTGAGCATAAATCCCCAAATTTTAGGCCAAACTTTGTCCAATTTGAGAATTGATAGTTCTTCCCCTAATCTAATTTCTCTTTAATTCTTTTGGGAGGAACTCCATTCTTAACACTTGTTTTGATAAGGATTCTTGCTTGTGACCTTGTTTATACCGTGTGTCGTTGAAATATTTGACTTTACTTCAAAGAAATTTTCTTTGATAAAAATTCAAAAGTTTCAACTATTCTGGTTAAACTTGGATTGGTTGATAATTATGTTGATGCTCTTGAATGACTGATTACTGACAGGGTTATTACTGTTGATTTGGAGTTTTATTCTAATACTTGGAAGCCCCGTTGGAATGGTTGTTGTTGTTGTTGAATTGTCTTGACAGATGCCACCAAAGAAGCGAACCAAGAATGTTGGCACCAGCTCTAGTCGGGTCACAGGTGCCCGATATCAGCCTCAATTCCCGAAGGACGAACAAATGATCACATACCTCGATTTGCTGAAAAAGGAGGTGGGCACGTTTCATTATCCTGATGAGCCCACCTTGACAGCCGCTGGGCTTCATGATGAGGTGATGACGCTACTCCGTCGGGGATGGTGGCAACACCTTTTCTTTGGCATTCGAGAGACCACATACAAAGAAGTAACTTGCGAAGTGTTGGCCACAATTAAGGTGCCTCGATCTATCAGTTTCTCCGATAACCACCGACCCCTAATCAAGTTCCGGGCCTTCAATGAGGACCATGCCATATCCATTTACAACATCCAGTGGCACTTAGGTTTTACCCGGATTGAGGATAGAGCAGATAATGAAGCAGGATTGACTGATTTTCCACGAGATGTAGACCGCCAGAGGTTTTGGGAGAGCATTTCTAGAGACGGCGGCACTTATGACCCCCGGGACACCCCTAGCACCTTGTTATATCCACGGGCGTACAGAGTTATCCATTCCCTCCTTTCATCCACCATCACTGGGAGGGCCGAGGTAGCAGGCAAGGTCTCCACTACAGATCTTTTGTGCCTTTATTGCATGATCCACAACAAGCTACCACACATGGGTGCTATCATTGCCGGCCTCTTCCACCGTCAGTCTACCTACAAGATCAAGGCTATCTTTTCTGGACCCTACATCACCTGCCTTCTGCGTGGGATGGGTTACGGCGACCACTTTGTAAACATGGATGAAAGTTCTTACTATGCGCCGTTGACTAAGCTTCCAGAGCTGAACACCGGAGTGGCCAGAAGGAGGCGCCTAGCAGAGCAGCCAGTTGAGGGAGAGCAGAGAGTACCGCATCAGGCGGGGATCCATATTCAGGAGGGCGGCGCAGCTGGCCACGTTGATGATGATGATGAGGAGCACCACACTGAGGGGGGAGGAGCAGCTATGGACCATGATGCTGCTCATTCTATTCCTGTCATGCCACCTGCTTTTCAGGATGCTTTTTCGAGTTGGCATGAGGAGCAGAGGGCTTATCATGTCGAGTGGAGGGAGAGTCAGCAGCGCCATCACAGGTCACTTTTTGAGAGTCAGCAGCGTTTCTTTGCCGATGTTCAGGCAGAGCGACAGAGACAGCAGGAGCTTTATCGCCAGATGAGGGCGGACCAGCAGGCATTCTTTCAGGAGGTCCGGGCAGAGAGGCAGACTTACCACAGAGAGCTCCAGCGGACCATTCACGAGGACATTACGACCGGGTTTTCCAACCTGCGCGTACAGTACGCCGAGTTGGACACTCGTGTCACATCCTTAGAGTCCAGCTGGAGTTCGTTCTTTGATGCACAGCAGCCACCGCCACCTCCGGAGCAGTAGTGATTTAGTAGATTGTTCGCCGTTAGCCTCTGTTCTCTGATTTTTGTTGGATGACTGTATCTATACTTTCACACTCACTCACTCACTCACGTTACTCTATTACTCTTTCTCCGTATTTCTTGGATTTTGTTTATGTTTTGATGATTGCAGCTTACTAGTCCCGTGGATGAAATTGCCGAGTTCATTTCACACAGTTGAGTTCTACTCCAACCATCGCCATAGGGAAGTCACTTTGGTTCTTATTCTTGTGATAATGACTTGAGTTAATGTTGAGCACGCGTGACCCTTTCCTCTTTACCCCTAGTACATAATGCATTTTTTTTTGGTCATCGAGGACGATGCCAAAGTTTAAGTGTGGGGGAGTGAATTGGGCATTCGGGCAGTGGTTGTTACATGTGATTTGTTAGAGTTAGCATGCGCAGGTGTTAGTTGTATATTCATAGGAAATTCATGCAAAATTTTTGAAAATTTTTCTTTAAACTGTGTCTTTGTGAACTGGCTAGCGTTTTGACTATGCTTTTAGGACATCCTTGAAGTGTTTAGGCTTAAATTGCTTGCATGATAATCTGGTTGTTGAAAGGATGAAGGCATTAGTCACCCATGTAATGAATCAACAGTTTTCCCATTGACCTGAATAAAGTCCTTTAGGAGAAGCCATTTTGAGCCTGACTGTTCTTTGTTTACCCAATTAATTTAGCTCCAAAGCCAAATGGACCGTGTTTCCTTACCCGTGAATATTTCTGGCTTAGTCTTGATGTTTAGGGAACTAGGGGATTAATTTGCTAAGTTTAGGGAATTTGTGTAGGAGCCAATTTTGGCACTGTTCCTATGCCTCAAATGGGGTAAGAGCAGTCATCTTTTAGGAACTTGATACTTTCGAGGATTGCATTGTAGGCATGGATTCACTTTTAAATTAATGAACTTTAATTGCTATTTTTCCTTGGTGAGGCCGAGATTAGAATGGGGTAATGTCTAGTGAGAATCCGAAGGGTGAAAAATTAATATAGCTAGACCTCTTACTTTGCGAAAAAGAGAATGGGAACCCTGGTCAAAAAGCGTAAGATGAGACTTGGGTATCTTTCGAAAGAAACGGCGTTCTCGTGCCAACATGACAAGGAAAACTAAACTTAAATTAATGAACTTGGAGGCTATCTCAAAATTTAGCTTTAGTCCTCCGCGTACTTCAAGTATACGTCAAAGCACAAATGTGCCGAGACGGTTTAGCTTAGTTGTACACCATGTCTACTCTTTGCATAGGTTTAAATGATTGTTCCTAAATTGTGGCCTACTGAGTTCCTTGATCCTAAGAATAGCCCTGAAGTTCCTGAATGCATTGAGTCTTTGTTAGAATATTCCGATCTCTCAAAATAAAGGGACTATTATTATTATCCATCCATCATCACCTTCACAAGTCCTTCTGATCAATAACTAGTTTATTTGTGTATGCTGTCATTACTTTGAGGATGTTGTGAATAATTGTGTCAAATAGTTTAGCTTGAGTACAAAGGCGTAGTTTAGGGAAGGATTTTCTTGATTTAAACTGTCTGTCCTGTGAATATCCCTTTAACTACATGTGTATGCTAACTATTTTAAATTCCGTGTGGTGATTATTGTAAGTCCCGTTGTTCGATTTGCTTGAGGACAAGCAAAAGCTTAAGTGTGGGGGAGTCTGATAAGTCCGTATTTAGACACGCATTTGATGCGTGTCCAGGTCGGATTTTGATGATTTTCTTGGATTTAAGGCGTTGCAAGTCTCAATTTTGGCTCAAGTTGTGTTTAGCAGGCGTTGGATCAAGTTTCGTTGCATTTGGAGTTGATTTGAAGAAGTTAGAGTCCGGCAATCGGCGTTAAAGAGACAATCGGGAGGAGATAGAGAGCATTCAAGGAAGAATTGAGAGATTTGGAGGTCACCAGGTGATTCACGGCGAAATTTTGAAGAAGGAAGAGCATTGGGATCGACCTCGGATGAGTCTGGACACATTTGGAGCAAGAAAACGAGAAAACGGGGCGAAAAAGTCAGACGCACGGTCGTGCGTCTGGGACGCACGATCGTGCGTCCATTTTGAATTCGCGTTGAAGCTTCTGCCTGCTACGCACGATCGTGCGTAGGCAGGGACGCACGATCGTGCGTAGCCCCGTGACACGCGCGGAAGTTTCCTATTTCGGCCCAAATTCGTTTTTTCACCTCTTTTTCTATAAATAAGGCCTCCCTAACCCTTTTTGGGGGTTACGAACATTACGGAGAGGCCTAGGGACGAATTTAACACCGTTTTTACGCTATTTTCTTCCAAGACCCTGGGATTATTTGTAAGTTCATCTTTTTAATTAATGACAATTATTTCTATTCATCCCAATTCTGTTGATTCTTCAATTATGAATTGTGAGTAGTTTAATTAGGGATTTGGGATTGATGAAGGGGTTAATCATGATTGATGGCTAGATTCTTGTCGGTTTAATTGCATGAATGCCGTTTAATTTGTGTTTGAATAATTTAATTGATATCTCTTGTAACCTAGACTGCAGCTAGAATTACAATTGTATGTAGAATGAATTAAGAGAGATCTAATTTGTTCTAGGACACATTCACACACACTTAATCGTTCGCTAAGAGATTAGTAGCGATTAAGGGGCCGTAAGCTCGCTCGTCTTGGCAATAACTTAGGATCCTGTCGCATGAGAGATCAGCCTGGTCCCCTAAATTATTGTACTCTACGCCGCGAGAGCGGTAAGAACTTAGTAATGATTAGCTAGGCTCAATTAAATTAAATTCATGTAATTAGGCCTGATCTGCCAGAAATCTGGTTACCCCGGAATCAATTCCTATTCCCTTCGTCGTTAATTGAGAAGAAACCACTTTTATTTTAATCGTTCAATTCGCATTAGTTTAATTTTAATTCACCAATCAAATCTCGCACACTTGCATTTATTTATTTTATTTCTTTTTAATCGCTGAATTTAGTTAATCTTTAATTCCCTTTTGTCCGTCCCTGTGGAGACGATACTCGTACTTTCAACCACTATTCTACAATCTTTTTAAGTGCGAGAAAACACACATCAATATATAATCCAAAAAGGGAAAGTAAAACAGGAAAATGGAAGAAAGGGAGTAACTACTATCGGCGTTTATTTAATACCGCATCATTCTGCAAGCCCGTCCAAATTTTTTCAATCAATTCAACCACCACCACTGACGACGGCCCTTGATAGTCCTTGATAGTCAAAGCAAGGAATGTGTTTGGCATTTTGCGGTTAACAAATAGCATGTCATGTTAATAGCGAATCAATCAGCTGATTTGACCATTTGACTAGCGGAATAAGTTGGCGAGTTGTCAGAATAAGTTTAGTAATTTAGTTGTTTTGAAATTATCGAGTGATTAATAGCGAATCAATCAGCTGATTTGATCGTTTGACTAGCGGAATAAGTTGGCGAGTTGCCAGAATAAGTTTAGTAATTTAGTTGTTTTGAAAACGCCATTTTCAAAATGCCAAACTAAAATTCTCTAATTTGTAGAGTTTCCATTCAAAACATTTGTAGAGTTTCCATTCAAAACATTGGGACCAAACAGCTATTTAATTTGTAGAGTTTCCATTTGAGTGATTAACGGTGTTTTCATCATTTACATAACACCAAATGGGTCAAACAGCCATTTTCTTTTGTTGAAACTCCATTTCCAAACGCCGTATATGTGGGCGTTGGCGGTTTTAGATGCATGTGGTGATGGTGAATCGGTGGTGCATGTATAAACGTTGCTTTACCAATGCCGAAGAAAAAATGCCCAGTCAAACACAAAAACTATGAAATTAGGCTTTTAAACATGGTGACAACTCCGGTACCCATTTAAAAAATTGGGTACCGTACCTAACACTTACATGATTTGTCCAAATCACTAAATCATTTTTAATTTAGATTTAAATAGTTCAACTGCAACATTCTGATTGGTCCAAGTGGACAAAGGTATGGTACCTTTACCTTTAAACATTTCTTCAAAAAAAAAAAAAAGACTTTTAAACATAAAGATAAACACGTTTTGGAGTATATCTCAATCCAAATGGGAACGGTTAACCTTTCTTGAATTGAAATCTTGAATCAGTAATTAGTTTCAACTAGTTTCCAATTTTGAACGTGTATAAGGCTTGTACAATTTCATTTCCAATTGCAGTCCGTCCATGCAATTTTAGATGCGATTTTAACTATGGGTCATCCGGAAACAATCTTTCCCTCCTTTCTTCTTTTCTTACAGGGGTAAGACCGCGTACATCCGACTCCCTCTACCCCATCGTAAGTGGGAGCCTTTGCGGAAATGAAAATGAATGAATGAATCATGAATGATAAGGCTTTTACAATTTGTAAATAGAAAAAATGTCAAAAACATAATTCGACGTGAATAATTAAGGTTGTACAAATATGTTGTGTTACCATAATAAAAAAAATAAAAAAATGACACTCCATCCCTGAGGGCCCCCAATAACGACCGGACAGCACGATGGGAGGATGTAAGTTGGACTATAATCACAACTTGACAAATAGAGAGTGGGGTTCCATCCGCGGTACTTGCAGAGGCCCTATGCATTTTTCAGCATAGTAACCCCTTATCGCAGTTGCCGGGATTCGAACCCGAGACTTAACCCTGGTGGCACTCCCTCACAATCAGTTGAGCTACGCCCACCGGTGTGTTACCATAATAAGTTTTCAATAATGTAACGGTGCATGAGCGCAGATGTAGAGAAGCGGTTCAAGGTGTCATTTGCAAAGGAAAGGGAGAAGAGAGCATACATGAGTGGGCCCGAGAGTGGGGTCCATCCTTTGGCAAATGGAGGTGGGAAAGGCATCCGGACTGTGCTTCGAGAGGTGGACTGCAAACCTGTAGCCTCCGTTCCAAGAGTCTTCGTTTGACTTGTGTTTAGCATGTTTGCTAAATAATGTATAAGCTGTTGTGGATTATTTCGTTTTCTTAATTGACCGAATAAGTGTATTTCCATATCCATGTTGTATATGTCAACTTGTACGTAGTATTTATTAATGAACTCTAGTTAAACTAATATAATAGCAGGCTACTTGGTGTACTTAGTGTGTCACAATGTCAAAATAAACCTAAGGGTAAGATTTTTTGTTACAAGTGTAACAAACATACTAAACAAGATAGAAGTGTGATTTTAAAATGAACCTATTTAAAATACAAGAGAAGCTAGGATGTATTTAGCATTTGTGTCGGGTAGTCAAGTTTAGTTAGGGTACCAAGATATAAGAAAAAACAAAAAACAGGAAAGTTGATGTTGGTGAAAAGTGAACTTCAAAATTAAAAAAAAAATCATACAATATATTCGTTATTTTGCAAATGGAAATAGAAAATGTGTAATGCATTTGTTTTTGCTCTCATTAAAACAACTCCAAAGTTTTTGCCAAATCAATGAATATTGGTCGGTAAGCTTCCTAGGAATATTACGCAGTTTGAAGGATAAAATATGCGGTGTCTCAGGGATTGGGTTTCTCTGCTTGGCTGGGTGGTCGGGTAGTGTGCTCAAAAATACTTTTACATAGACATGTGTAAAAGTGTGTACCCCAAAATAGTGTGTACACCAGGTCTAAATGTAGTGTGCTTGACTAATCTAGCCACATGATTCCAATTTTGGCAGTCCAAGGCAACGCTCTGTCGTGCGACGGAGGATCCCAATCCGTGTTTTAGGGGATAGACGGGCGTCTGGGAAGGCTAGGTCGAAAGTCATGTGGGATAATTCCAACATTCCTTAAAACCTAGGAATTGTTGAGCTAGTGATCAACCCCCACGAGGCCAGGCCCCAAGTTACTTCCTATCTTTTTTCAACTCTGGATAGTCTCATAGTCATCATAGTTTATTTCATTAATGCATCAAACCATTGGAGGCAGTTATTGACATATATTCTGGGGATAATGGTGAATGGCAGAACGGGTGGTACGGTGGGGAATGTTGAATATCTTAAGTTTGATCCAACAGCCATTATATACATCGTTCTATAATATAGACACACCATTGTGGAGACATAATGTAATCCCTTCCCCTCCTCATATGCTAAGATAATTAAACAACAGACTTGTTTATGATTGCACCATAAAGAGTTACTTAAGGATCGTCCCTTTTCTTCATGCCTACACGGTGACTATTGTTGTTACTTAAGGATCGTCCCTTTTCTTCATGCCACATAGATGACTTTATAAATTGATCATGGGCAATTCAAATAACGCGTCACTATTCCAAGTCAAATGTTTTGTGATATTCTGGCATTGTGATTTCATTGAAATAACCCGCTTCCCCAATCTACATTTGGAAGGGCAAGCAAAGTTAGTATTACAACATGTATAATTATAACTAAGAGATCCAACCAGAGTATAATTTTTTACATGATATGTTCACTCAAAGATGCCTTAAATTTAAACTGTTGGGATAAAACCTAAATGATATAAACAACAACATTATGACAACCATTTTATAGAATACATGATTATATAGTAAAGGCCAGGAGGTTGATCGGGCATGGTATCTGTATGGCAAAGGTTCTTCATCCTCTTTTATCAGTTTCAGCCCCACTCAATTACCGGTGAATGGTTAATAAATCTAAGAATGGTAAATTGCTCTTTCTACACCTTCAAATATGTAATCATGCCAAATACAATATGTATCTCTTTCTCAACTTCTGCAAATAGTCACATCCTTTCCGTGACTTTCTTCTCATATATCATTTTTAGTCGCACATTGTTAACGAATTGACAGAGGGGTGACGAATTTTAACAACAACAATTGAATGACTATTCAAGGATTTTATTTTATTAACATATGTAATAGGTCTTTATATGCACTTCGAAAAAGTTTTATAAACTTAACTTCTGTTATAGGATTAGCTAAAGGTTGGGATCAGTTTTATTAAGAGACTTAGTTTTAATGTGATTGATGTCTTAATTTGTTGCAATGGTTTTGTGCATTGCACCAGGTTTGCAAATTCCAAGATAAAGGAGGGTAATGCTGTCAAATGGAACTGGTCTACAATCAGTTAGCACCACACAACTATTTTTCTTCTTTTTCCTGTGGTGGATTAATTGTTCCTTCTCTTTTGTGCTTTTCAAATACCTCAACAGTATTTACATCTTCATCTACAAGATGAGGGTCCCCGTATTTGTGGGTTAATTAGTTATCTGTATTCTATTGTGGACTAAACTAAGCAAAACATATTTTGGAGACAGTAAAAAACACAAACTCACATAATTATATTGCAGACCACTTTATTTCTCGAAGCCGTTAACAGTATGTAGAAATATGATTCATTTGACTTGAAGTATTTCTACCACTTCCGATTTTGGAAAGTCGGAACGAATCATATTTTTATCACTTCTAAAGATTCGTTGGACTTTATGATTTGTTGGACGTTCTGACATGATTTGTTTAACTTTATGATTTTGGAAAGTCAGAATGAATCACATTTCTACGTACTCGTAAAAAAACACTTGAAAAGTGTTAATTAGATGTCCTAAAACCAAACATATTTTGGAAAGTCAAACCAATCATATTCCTACGTACTCTTAACACAAGTCATTATGTTATTGCTCGAAGTAGAACTAAAATGGATAAATAAGTCCAAACATATTTCCAAAATTGAACTTTCAGACATACACTATGACTATTGTGCAAGGACTCCTAACAAGGGGATTCTTTTACAACCCTTCAAATTCCTCAATTACAGGTGAATTAATCCTAGTTAGAAAGAAAATATTAATAATCTCACTAAGTGACAGATTATTTAGTGACATTATTTCATAGAATAATTGAAATTTCACTAAATTTGCATTTAAAAAGAATACAAATTGTGATGGAATGGGAATCACATCTTATCGTTTATGAATGGGATGATTGTAAGTTTGTCTGCAATCTACATGACTTTTCTCCTGCAACTTGCGTCCCAACAGCTTTATACGAATAATATATTCCCACTTCCCCACTTCCTTTCTGTTTCTCTCTTTCTCTTACATTTTCAATTCTCAGAGAAAAACTGCCATTTCCATTTGGCAACCGCCAATCCCTTGCTAACGTATGTATCCGTCATCCAACTTCTCATCCTCTCACGGCTCAACGGCCCGCCACAGCGGCGGCGATGGACTCTCGCGCTACCGCTCAGCTCCCAGCTCCGACTGGTTGGATGCCATTGACTCCGTCATCAATGGAGGCGCGTTTGACCACTCCGTCCTCCCCACCTCACACCCTTCTCCGACCGGTACTTCCCGTGACTTCTCTGACTCGGCTGGAACGGGTGCGTCAAGCAAGTCAACGGAGCATGGCGATAATGATAAAGCCGCCGCAGCTTCTACCATCGAGGTATCTTACGATTCCCGCGACCTGACATTTCCTTACGGCGTCTGTAGCGGCGGAGCGTCTACTTCATCATTGGTGCGTCACAGTAGTTCGCCGGCCCGGCTTCTCAACCAACTTGCTGCCGCTGTAGGTGATAATAACGGTAAGCATTCCTTACCAGTTCTCTTCGGTTTTTTTCAGTTTAAAAAGAGGCTACGTAGTTATTTAGTAATCATTCTAATAAAACAAGGGCACAAAGTTAATTACTAATCAATTTCAGTATAATGTCTCTTTTTAACCGTTGATCTCGTTTGACTTTATGTAATTCTAACACTTCTGATTACCAAATCGTGTCTAATCTGTGAAAATGCTAGACACTTAATTAAAACTATAGAACATGTCTACCAAGTCACCATTATGCATTATTTGCCATTTTGCCAACCACATCAATGTAGGATTTCAAGTTCCATTAAGCTCAGGAAGTTGTCATAGTGGTGTTCTTGAAAGCAGGCAATGTATGTCCAGACTGAATTCTCAACTAAGTCTCAAAAGACAGGAAACTCTGTCTCAAGTAGTCTTGGGAAACGGGAATGATGTTGGTGGTAGTAACAACATGGAGAATGTAGGGAGCTTTACCGTGGGATCATGGAGCAATAACAAAGAGCACTCAGAGACTATTTCAACAATGGGATCATGGCGTGAAAATGACATCCAGCCAGTGATGTGTTCGGTTACTCCGTTTAGTTCAGCCAAGAACATTAATTGTGATATTTCTAGAAGCCTTGGTGAGATGGAAAATCAGGTGATGAATTGTTAAGTCCTTTGTGCACCACCTTTGGTTGTGCATGTTTCCTGTATAAAATAGATCACATATATTATAATTTAAGGTTCTATCTTAAGAAGTCAACTTCATATGAGCTAATGAGTAATCAAAGACCTTAAGAGCTAAATATAGTCAAACCTTACATTGCATTGAAGGAGATAAATCTTAAAATCTATATATTAGTTTTGAGTCTTGGTTGTATCATACGTAGTATTTATCAAGCTGTATAGTTGTATCTAATACTAAGGTTCTATTGTAAGAGTTAAACCTAATAATTTAACTGTCTAAGTGAATTTGTATCTTTATACTTGGCTCATACATCTATATGACATAACAAGAAGCTTGGGATGGCTAATTTAAAGCCATGGGATTCTCATAAATATCATTCAGATCATATTTTTTATGTTTTCATTCATCTGAATAGACTAGCATGTACATGTTACAAGGTTGCCATCATGTTTTTGCATTGATTATGTGTTTTGCATTTCAATTTTTACATTATATTTCAAGTGGTTGTTGACTTGTTTCAATGTAAACTGATTGGTAAAAGTTAAAATATAATTGAAAATTGAATATATAGATATCATTCACTTTTCAGTTGCAATTTCGCATGCCGCATGAAGCACTACTGGAGATGGAAACCATGGATAGCTATTTGCACATCCCTGAAGTTTCTGTTCCATGCAAAGTTCGTGCTAAGCGTGGTTGTGCTACTCATCCACGTAGCATTGCAGAAAGAGTGAGCTCCTGTATTCCATGTTTTGAAGAGTTTCGTAATACAAAATGACCAGTTTGGTAATCAAGACCACAATTTTAAAAAAATGTGGCTCCAGAAAATCAGAGTAAATTTTTGTGAACTTGGTATGGACATATATCTGGGTTGACCCTCCAACCTTCTCTCTTGAAAAGGACCATTATGCCCGCACGGGTAGCTCACATGGTCGTCATAGAGGCTGTTGGGTGCACTACTGCAATGGTCTCTGCGTACGAATCGCACCGACATTGTCAGATTTCATCCAATGCGATGGCTATTGTGCACACCAAATACTAGATCACATCTATGAACAGTGTAAGATTACACCGTGATTCACCGCTTTACCTCCACCATCCTGTTGGGCTGGAGTATAAAGATATTAGGATGGGTGATATCACTTCTTTGGGTGCAATATAAAATTACCACCACATTTATGGAAAATGTCATTGGTGTTTTTAGCTATTTTCATGTGTGGTTGAGTATAACATTTCGAGCTAATTAATTTGTTTGGGTAACTCACCTTATCTTTATATGCAGGAGAGAAGAACCAGGATAAGTGGAAAGCTAAAGAAGTTGCAAGATCTTGTCCCTAATATGGATAAGGTAAAGTATTGTCACCAAACTCTTCATTTACCTGCCTATATTTGTTTAAAATAAACCTACTAGATGCCTAGATCGTTTATTGGTTTCTCAGTGTAAAAATATGACACTATTTTGTGAATGGTTGGCTTTTGCACATTCTAAAATCTCTTTAAATTGGTTGATCAAGCTCATTGCATGGTCTATTGTGGTCTACATCAAGTTTTGCCTCAATGATTTTTAACGATTGCAGCAAACAAGCTATGCAGATATGCTGGATTTTGCGGTGCAGCATATAAAATCTCTCCAAGAAAAGCTTCAGGTATGTGAATATTTGGACTCAGTCACTCAGCCATAAATCTCCTCTACTCCTCTTCCTATAGATATATAGGAGAGTTTATGTGTCAGATTTGTTACATTACGCATTTACACATAAGGGGATGTGGTCAAAATACTCAACTAGTCCATGCAAAATATTAATTTGGTAAGGAGAGCTCAGAAAAATCAAAACATAGTCTGTACGGCCGTTGGTAAATTTTAGAACCTGAATTATGAGATGGGAGCAAGATGAAGATTGAAGAATGACCATTGAGCAATGCTACGGGAAGTAGTGCGGCCCTTGAGAGAGGAAAAACAGTTCAGCTCTTCCAAGTCAAGCGCTAATGTGAGTATAGCAGAAGTCATGAGAAACGCCAGACTTTGGTGGCGAGCTCGTTGGAAGCACTGAAGCCAGAGTATGAAAAGAATAAGAAAGAATATTGAAGTTCCCAAACAAACACGGACTTGATCAAATTAATATTTCTAGTGATATCCCTACAGTATCTCTATAATATCCCCAGGAAGTTTTCACTTTGACTCTTTCAGTGTTAGACAAAACCAGACTAGACCATATTTAGATTTTAGACCATAGTAAAATACATATATACCAGACCTTTACCAGACTGAATTTAAACATATCAAAGCAAACCAGAAAATTAGGGTCCACGTGAAAAATATATTGGATAGTATCAGATTCAATGACGTTACTTTACTAGTTTACTACTTTTGAGACTTTGTGTGTTTCGTACCATATTTAGATTATAGACCATAGTAAAATACATATATACCAGACCTTTACCAGACCGAATTTAAACATATCAAAGCAAACCAGAAAATTAGGTTCTACGTGAAAATATATTGGATAGTATCAGATTCAATGACGTTACTTTACTAGTTTACTACTTTTGAGCTTCGTTTGTTTTGTACACATTAGTCACATTAGCCCGAGCAATGCTCGATCAATGCTTTTCTATTCAAATAATATGTGATTCCAGTTAGTTGTTTTCATGCAGGAGTTGAATAAGGACCGTGAACAATGTACGTGTGGAGTTGTGGACGCATGAGAATGTAAACCACGTCCATATGAAAGATAATACTTCGTATAACTGATCAAGTCAAGTGATATTCATTGTTGAGGAAGAGTTGGTGGCGACAGAGAGGGCCATCTTCCACGTATTTAAGGCCCTAATCAAAGACGTCCCAAGCAGTCTAGCACGAGAGGTTAGACCATTTGTAGTGGTTGGGAGTCCAAATTGTTAAATTTGGACTCCGTCCAAAACAGTGTTTTGACTCCGTCAATACTGTTTTTCTCTGCATTCGTGCACCGTCAATAAAATACACTCAACATATTTTTTTACATATCAATTTAGTAAAACATTAATTAATTTATTATAAGAAATGTTTTCCGTTTAATATTTTCCCTAAATAATTGTGAAATAAAAAATACACATTTTGACATAAAAATAAATAAATTTCATTAATTTTTTTTTAATGTTTTCGGTTAACAAAAATGAACTTAGTTCAAGTAAAGTTCGATTATAAAATATTCAGTTATTTGTAAAGATTCCATGAATTAAAAATTTGTGTTGTTTCATCGTTTTGTAAACGGAAGAAAACTTCAACAGTTAACATTTAAGAATTTTTGTTTCATTTTATATATTACATATTGGTGTCATATGAAAGATCATAAAATTTTATGAATTTTGATATATATTTTGAAAAATTTGGAGAAAAAATAAAAAAGTTACAAGAGTTTAAAATAATTTGGGGTTATAATGATGTCACCATGATGTCATCGAAAACATGGTTTGACTGTCAACCCCTCCCTCTATATTTACACTCTTCCACTCCCCTTTCCACTTTTACTCCCCCTTTTAATCCTCCACTACACACAAATAAGAGTCTAAAATCTCCATTTTTAATCTTTTGACTCCTAATCCCCAACCACTACAAATGGTCTTACATCAATTCAATGGCAAATGTTGACAACAAAAAACATTCATATTCAGTAGCTTTGTGAGTTACTGACTGAAATGATTCAATATGGTTATATGGTAATTTTATGTAGTTGTTGTATGTATATGATGTTCCTCTTATTTCGATAAAGAGCGATGGGTTGTAATTGGCTTTCGAAAAGAAAAATTCTTTTTGTGAACGCCCAAATGGCCCTATATCAATACTACCAAAGATTTTTTTTTTTTTTTTCCATTTTTTAAGACGAAGTGCACATGCCATGATGCCAATAATATGGCATGTATACACAAGCTTATACGCATGAAGAGTGTACACGAAGCCTCTTTATTTTGAAAATGCGAGTAGAAATTTTTCATGTGTTTCAAATGAGGGTTCGATGAAGATTATAATGATTTCCATATAAAAAAATGCATGTAATTTTTGGTTAAGAAAATATTTTGTGACCTTTGAACTTTTAGTTATTCATTTTGTAAAATGTATGTTAAGGAGTATCAAATGGGCATAAATAAAAGGGAAAAGGTACAAATATATCCTTGTAGTATGGGTGTGAGAACAAATATATACACGTACATTTTTTAAAATTTAATTTTTTTTTAAAATGTATGTGTGTCCATTCTCCCTTGATGTTTTCTAAATAGAACATGTGTATATTTTTTCTCACACCCATTCTACATGGGTATATTTGTACCTTTTGCCTAAATAAAAACACTTTTTCATCTTACTTTCTACTACGCAATAATATTTCACTTTCACTATACCTTTATTCATTGGTTGTATCACAATCGTATAATAAAAAAAATTATACTTCACCTGTGGGAACCTCCGTCATCGAATGGATAGCTAATTGAGAGGATAATCTATGATATAACTAGATGTGAACATAGAGACGAGTACTTAAATGTGGAGCCTAGGTCGTAGGAACCTCAGAACGCACGAAAATAGAAACTAAAAGACACTTTGTTACTCTGTGTCTATATTAGGGTTGGACCCGGGTCGGGTCGGGTCCGGGCCGGGCCGGGCCTAGGCCCGGGCGGGCCGCCGGTTCTGAATAGTTGGGCCCGGGACAGGCCCGGGTAGCTACCGGGTCCGGGCCGGGACGGGCCTCAGTTTTTTTTTTTTTTTTTTTTTTTTTTTTCTTTCCTAAGTATCCCTGACCCCCTCACCCCCACTCCCCCAAACCCCTCCTAAACATCAAGCCCAACCCGGGTGGAACCAAAAAAAATGAAAAAAAAAATCAATTTGGCCCGAACTGGGCCCGGCCGGGCCGGGTCTCATTTTGAAGGAACCGTGCCCGGAACCGTCTCCCCCTCGGGCCGGGTCAAAGCCCGGTACCCGGACTGGTGAACCTGGCCGGTCCCGGGCTCGCACAATAGCGGGCCGGGCCGGTTCACGGGCCGGGTGGCCCGACCCGAGTCCACCACTAGTCTCTATCTCGCTTTAATTGAGGAAAAAAAACTTTGTTACTCTATGTCTCTATCTTGTCTCTAGGAACCTCAGAACGCACGGACATAGAAACTAAAAAACACTTTCTTAGTCTATGTCTACCTCAATTTTTGCTTTAATTGAGGCAGTTTTTCGCATGCCTAGGATTTTGAAAACAAAAAGTCTTGGTGTACACCCTGGGTTACACCCTGGGGTACACCATATAAAAGGGCCAAAAAAAATTTACCCCATCCTCCCACACCTTTCACACACTCACGCATATCTTCGATTAAAAAAAAAAGCCTCTCTCCCTTTCGAGAATCGTCTCCCCTTTCCGCATCCCAATCGTTCCCAAATCTTCCCGCTCTGATCCGCCTTCCTCATCCTCTTCATTCATCCTCATCCCCATTTTGTAGACGTCGGCAATCCGGATTCCTCCATCCCCTCTTCATTCTCCATCCACACAATGAAGAGGACGATGCTTGAAGTGAAGACAAAGACCCTAGTTGAAGACGAAGACCCCAGGGAGAAGGCGCCATTGTAGAATACCCCAGAGTTGCGAGCATGGTGCGAACAAGTCTGTCTGAAATGGCCGAAGGGTATGTATGAAGTTATCTCTAGATCTTTTGTGTTTTATTTTGTGTTGGAAAAGTAAAAAAAAAATAGCAATTGTAGTGTTTGTGTGACCCTAGGATTTTAGTAGTAGTTGTCTGTGCACCGTTCATATTTGTGTGTTGGAACTGAACTGTTTGTGTGCACCAACAGATTTGAGTACGCGTTGTCTGTGGAGCCGTTGTGTTAAATTAGCTAAATATCTGTGAATTGTGAAAGAAATTAGCTGTTCTTTGAAGGGTCATATATCCATATTTATTTATTTTTGTTTTTGTAGGCTTATATTTCAGTTTAATAAAATCGATTTGACTTTGTATTGGATACTTAATTAATGAAGAAGTTATAAGCATGAACGGGTGGTGTGTTGGAACTAAACTGTTTCTGTGCACCAAATTTTTGTGAACTATAGAATAAAATAGTTGTTATTTGAAGGGTCATATACCTATTTATAATGTTTTGGTTTTGTATTGTCGTATATTTAACTTTAGAAGCATTAGTTTGTTGCTACGAGTTGTCTATGAATCTTCTTCATTAGGTTTTTTATTGTGTAATGGAGTTGAATATAGTGATAACTGTGTTTACCATTTTGTCAATTTCAGTTTTTGTGTTTAAAAATAAAAAAAGATAGAAGTTAGAACCCTTAATAGGTTGTGTGTGAGCATTTGGAATTGCAGTGTCAGTATAACCTTATGGTTTGACCGCAGTTGTCTGTGAGTTCTTATGTGACACGTTTGAAGTGTCTGTGAGTTGTTAAGTATGACCTGCACTAACAAGACTTCAAATAAACATAAAGAAGGATGATTAGTAGCCGTGTTGTTGTCTGTGAATAACATGAGTTCATTCCTTTGCAGGGCATAATAACTTGTCTGTTTGCACCGCCAATTGTATATTTTTACTTGTTATTATTATCGTCTGTGCATACCGACAATTAGATGTAGCAACTTATGATTGTGAACTTTTCGTGTGTTTTCAGCACCAGAGAGTGAGAAGTCATGGTGTTGGCGGCGTTTGTTGAACATTTGTTGTTGGAGTTACCATTGTTACCAGGTTGTGAGTACGAGATTGTGGAATGTTGTACAATAGCGCATGAGATTTTGTACACGATTGTAACTCCAATGCCAAACTTTAATGCATCCGTATTGTATAAACACTTGTAAGTTTGTGTAATGGAAATGTGTTTGTGGTAACATATATATTGTATGTTGGCATACTTATTGTGTTTGTGTTGGGAAGACCTGATTGAAACCCGAAAACTGACCCTGACCTTACCTGAACAATCAATATAATATACAAAAAAATAGTAACTTTAATCACATTTTTAAATAGTTCTTAATATATTACGGAGTATTATATTTATGGTAGATGAAAAAATAACTTAGTAACTTTTAGTGGTTACAAATAAATTAAATTTTGTATACCGTAATAATCATGAAAATATATTTATAGTAACTTTAGACACATTTTTATTCCTAAATAAAACCAATATTTTATATTTTTATATGCATCTTAAAAAAATATTAAGATAATTATTTTATGACTAATATTTGTGTTATTATTTGCGCTCTGTATTTTTGATTAATTTTATTTGAAAATAGATTTTAAAATATAAAAGAAAAAATGATATGATTTCACATTCGAGTTTTAATTGGCTCAATCCGAACTCGGGCCGAATATAATGAGCTTTGTTCTGGTCCCTAATTACCATACGGGTAACTTTCGGGTTTAACAAAAAACTGACCTAGACTGATCTCACTCCTAAGTTAAAATAATATGTGTGTTTTATTGTTCTTATTATTGTCTGTGTACACTGATAGTAATTCATGTGTTGTTATAATTATTGTCTGTGTGCACCGACAACAATATTTGTATTTTGATGTTCTTATTATTGTTTGTGTGCACCAACAGTAATAAGTGTGTTGTTATTATTGCCTATGTGCACCGACAGGAATGTATGTTTATTTAAAGTACTTGACTATGTAGTTATAATAAGTTTGACACCTACAACAATACCAAAACGCATAAAGAGTGAACCTTACATTACATCAAACTCAATGTCATGTTAAAATCTAAATCAAGAATTTGTACATTTGTGCTTGGGACTTGCGATCCAAGTTCACCAGTAGTAATAAAAGTTGCGTGTTTGAGTCACACAAGTGTAAAAATTACAAACTCAAATCATATTGCCACACAAATACTTACAAACCATATTACTACAACTCAAACCATATTATCACACACACTTACAAAGAAAGTAATGTCTGTGTACACCTACAAAAAGACTATTACTATGTTCACACCGACACTAGTTGTCAGTACAACCACTCAGGAAGCTTTCATTCGTCTGTGCACACCGACATGTGCACACCGACATATGTACATTTTTTGTAGAAATCATAAACCGCATCTTTTGTAGAAAACTCCATGCCTATCTTTGGAATTTGTTCACATTCATCACCATTGTTATCTCCATCTGTTTACATAATCAAATAATTATTTTACATTAACTCATTCATAGTTGACATTCAAATGATTAAATTAACCATACATTGACACAATACAAATTAACCATATTTGACACAATACATCACCATTAAATTACTTTTTGGAAGGAAGACAATTCTATCTCTTTAGAGATCGTTGTGCTCTTCACTTGATGATGACCTATGCTCATGAGAGCGTGAAACCATCAATTTTAAGTTCCTGATTCAAACGTATACAAAAAATTTAAGCCACATGAATCTGGATAGAGTAAAATCAACTTAGATAATCTTATAAACAGTATTCAGTAGAAATCTAACATATGTAACCCATGAGAAGTCTGTAATGTACCTGAAATGAAAATAGAAAATCTAAAGAAAAAACTAAAATAAATTCAAAAGTAGTGTCGAAAATTAGATAATTATGTTACACAAATAAGTTTTCAACACACATCTTTCATTCACACCGACACTAGTTGTCAGTAAAATCACTCAGAAAACTTTCATTCGTATGTGCACACCGACACTAGTTGTCAGTAAAATCATTTAGAAAACTTTCATTCGTCTGTACACACCGACACTAGTTGTCGGTAAAATCACTCAGAAAACTTTTATTCGCCTATACACACCGACACTAGTTGTCGGTAAAATCACTTTGAAAACTTTCATTCGTCTGTGCACACCAACACTGTGTTGTTTACTTCCCCGGCCAAGCTTCGACTTTTGTTATAACTCACACAACAACCTCACAGACACTTCGCTACTCTTACATAACAACTCGCAGACAACATTAAGCCAAACCATCTTACCACACAAACACTGCATTTGAACACACACACAATCACTTATTTGTTCATTTTTTCAATTATATCTCTGTTTTCCGATGTACCTCCGTTTTTGGCTGCAGCTCCTTCTCCGTTCACAAGTGTGCTCTTAGTCGCACCTCTGTCGTTGTTCGCATCTACATCGTTCAGACCACGGTTCCGGCCGCACCTCCATTTCCGGCTGCAGTTCCTGTTTTGTTCACTGGTGTGTCCTTCATTGCAACTCCGCTTTGGTTCTCAGTAATATATCCTGCCGGCCCTCCATCTAAGATAAAAAAGAGAGCAAACCATCAATTGAATTAAAAAAGAAAAAAAGGGAGGAAGGTCGGGAGAATGGGAACTCTCGTAATACAGAAGTCAAGGAGAGAAGAGGGGGCTGACTGTGAAGGCACATGGGTGAGGAGGGGTAAACTACACTGTAAAATTATAGGTATTTATATGGTGTACCCCAGGGTGTAACCCAGGGTGTACACCAAGACTTTTTGTTTTGAAAATCATACCTCTAGATGGCCCCTTTTTTCTTTTTACACATACCTAGGCCATTGTACACATGGCAAGATGTATGCAGGATATGAAGATGTGGGGTGGTGCCTTGGTAGCGTCACATAAGCGAGTATTGATTGTGTTTGTTTTTTTGGCGGATGGGTAAAAAAAATTCATGTAGGGGGATTGGGATCCTCTGCCGCACGGCAGAGTGCCTTGCGCGCAGAGGACCGTCGGATGGGGGAAGAGGGGCCTCGGGATGTGCGCTTCAACATCTCCGACCGTCCATCTTTTGATCGGATGGTTCCCGAGGGCCGGGCACCGTGCCTTACTTTGAAGTATGGCAGAGGTTCCGGATCCCACGAAACCACCGGGGGCGTTCTGTGGGGGCTACTGCCCCTACAATTTTGTTGGTATATATATATATATATAGAGAGAGAGAGAAATCATCTCATCAGGCCGGCCTGACGGGCTTCCCCGTCCGGCCGAGCCCGTTTGGGCACCTTCCCGGTGGAATTTTTTGATGAAATTTTTTAAGCATGTTCCTCATCAAGTCTAGTTTGTCCATACCAAATTTCAGCTCAACATTCGATCGGGAAGGTCGTCAAATGATTTTTGCAAGTTAACTGGTCTAGAATATGTATTTTCCGGACCAGTTAACTTGCAAAAATCATTTGACAACCTTCCCGATCGAATTTTGAGCTGAAATTTGGTATGGACAAACTAGACTTGATGAGGAACATGCTCAAAAAATTTCATCAAAAAATTCCACCGGGAAGGTGCCCAAACGGGCTCGGCCGGACGGGGCAGCCCGTCAGGCCGGCCTGATGAGAAGAGCTCTCTCTCTCTCTCTCTCTCTCTCTCTCTCTATATATATATATATATATATATATATATATATATATATATATATACGAAAAATAATTTTCGCTCACTCAAAAAATATTTTACACCTCCAAAAAATATTTTGAACCCCCCAAGATGAATTTTTTGAGTCCTCCCCTGCAAGAAACTCTTAAGGAAACAAATTTAGTTACTAAAGAAATGAATAGTTATTAAGAAAAGTAAATTCCAAATTATTAATTTTGTTTTCAGAGGAGTTTTGTGCATGAAAAATATAACACATGGGATTTGACATATTTTTTAAATCACATAAAACTAATGCACTAAAATTATACTCCCTCTGTCCCACTAAGATTGTCTCATTTTATCTTTTCGGAAAATCTCACTAAGATTGTCCCATGCCAAATTTGGTAAAGTTTGTGTGGCTCTAAATCAGACTTACTTTATTTTTACTTTATCAATTTAATATCAACCACACAAACTCACTTTTCTTAATAATTGTGCCATCTTTTCTTATCTCAATCTTAGTAGGACGGAGGTAAGTATATCACTAGGGGATTTGATGTATTAAACTCGAGAATAGAGGGGTATCATTGTCATCCAAATACAAATATACAATTGTTGCAGCTATTGTTTGGGATGAAGCAATTTTGATTTTAGTTTTTTTATTCTTCCTTCTCATAACTTTTCTTTCCATATCTTCATCTCTCAACTACTTCTCCGTTCTCATTGCCATTCTTGATCGTCTTCACCAATTTCTTCAAATTAATTCTCATTGAGTAACATATTTTCTAACTTTCATTGAAAATTTGGGTTTGTTAACAATTTCATCTTTTCCGTATGAATTGTGCTTTTGGAATATAAGCGCAATTTATATCCTACACCCGGATGTACCTGTACATCCGGTATTTTTGTAAATATACCAACTTCAAGTCTCTGAGTCAGCATATTCTTTCCCGCAAATCATCTTTCGTCTTCTGCAGTCTTCCGCTTTTCGTCTTCGGCTGCCTTCCTCTTTTCCTTCTTTTCTTCCGCCGCCTTCCTCTTCCTTTCTTTCTTCCGCCGTCATCAATTCTGATTGTTACGTTTACTTTTTGTTTTGTTTTCTTTACTTTTTTTGGTGGTTCTGATTGTTACGTTTTTTGTCTTTTTGTTTTTTAGTTTCTTTACTTTTTTTAGTGGTTGATTTCACTCTTTTTCTTTTACTTTCTTTACTTATTTTCTTTGGTTTTATTTTTTACTTCTTTTCCTTTCTTTATTTGTTTTACCTCTTTCTCTTTTTCATGAGTATATTATACCGAGCACATTAAAAATGAGTTTTACCTTAAATTGAAATGTGTAAAACACTTTTAAAAAATGAACATACACAAATGAATTTTTGAATTTTTGAATACTCATTTTGTAAATTATGTATGCTCATTTAATATCTCTGTTATGCTCATTTTAAAAATGTTTTAGCAATGCACATTTCAAAAATCTTATATTACATTAGATTTATATAAGAGTTGATCATAAACACGAGGCCACAAATCATGATACTCAATCGCAAATTCTAATACTCA